CAGCAGGAAGCAGAGAAGCTGACCATCACCTTTTAAAACTGTACAATTTAAAACCTGTAACCACACATACTTGAAGGCACAGTTTCCTTTTTCCTAATCTAATTGTGACCTGCATTTCATCATGAACTTCTTTCGGTCAGGAAGCAGTGACTCTGACGAGTTGCTCTTGTAATCTACTGACTGCTCATGTCAACTTGAAGATCAGGGGCTCTGAAAAGACTTGCTTAGAGATCTGGCTGCTTCAGGTGATCCCTGCTCCCCCCTGTCCCGTGAAGACATGAATATGAGTTTTCAGATTCCCAGGGCACCTGCCACTAGGGCAGGTTTTCAAACAGTAATGAATGGAAGTTCCTGCTTGGTCAGTGGCAACAGGCATCATTACTCCCATTTCGGAGCCCAAAGCAGAGACATGTGGAATAAATTGATCTAGATCAATAAAAGAGTCTTAGGCAGAGTCAGGAACAGAACTGACAGTGTCTGGCTCCTTGTCATAATCTCGTACACAACTCATGGGTGTCCTTCCATGAGGAGATTTCACCCACACATGTCTTATTTCACATGGACTACAGAGAGAGTATGACATCAGTCAAAAAATCCCTAGTGTCTGCTCACAAATTTTGGAGTCTTTTATATCCATAGTAATAAAAGCTGTATGCCGTTTATTTAGCAGGGCTCTTTTAATGCGCTGTTTGTTGTTTTGATAGTCTGTGTCTTCTTCATATTGTAATCATATTAAAAGAGCATTCTTTTCCTGGAATAAAGAGGTAATGATTCACAAGAGGCATAATTATTCCATGCGGTGCGGGCAGGATGCTGCAGAAAGAGCTGTCTTTATGCATAAGAGGCTTTTATTGCAAGTGTTCTACACAGTAATTAAATTCCTTTGAATAAAGAGGCTTGATTGGATTTTCTTTGGTTTATTGGGAGGAGTCTGAAAAGCAAGGTATTTAGCTCAATTGCTATACAATTTTGGCATCTGTTGGAGGTTAGGGAGAAAGGTTCAGTGTCTGATTCCCATTTCTCTTATGCTAGTGTTATGCTAGCTGAACTCTGTTGACTTCAATTGAATTACACCCTATCTGTATTTGTGTGACAATCAAGCTCAGAAATCCCTGGCAGAAAGCAGCAGGACACCTGAATGCACGCTGTAAGAATCCAAATTATCTAAGAGAAAAAAAAGCCTTGCTAAAGGAAAATTACTTGCAGTTGCAAAGGCAAGTGCCCAAAAGCGAGGAAACTTCACATTTACAGTTGTCCTTCAGATCTGAAGTTTGCCTCATGGCAAGTCCAGTCTTGGCCCAGAATGGGACAAAGTTTTAAAAGACAGCAGCAAGAAAATGAAAAGTCAGGCAATCACATAACAAAAATCTGTGCTGTGGCTTGACACACGAGTCAGGATGCTGTCACGGCACAACTTTTGAGTATTTCAGTTGTCAAACTAAATCATGTTTGTTTAACGTTAACTACTGCACACAGCTGCCAAGGTTTTTTTTTCAAAGGAAAAGACTAGATCTGTAAATTAAAAGGAAAACTCTATTATATACAGCCTCAACATCTATTAGCAATGGAGTTTTGATCTTGTAGCATAAATTACAGCATAAATTCTTCCTGTTACTCAATAAGGCTACACAATACGTCAGGAGGTGAGTGTTGCTCAGGGAGGGAAGGAGCTGTGTGACACCATGGGGGTAATTTCATCCTGCTGAGATGTCTTCATGGGGAGAGCACGCATGATCCAGTTTGTGGCGAGTCACTAGCGGTGTTCCCCAGAGCTCAGTTTTGGGGCTGGTGCTTTATAGATGCACCTCTTCTATAGATGGTCTGGACGTGGGGATCGAGTGCACCCTCAGTCAGTTTGCAGACGACACCAAGTTGGGTGGGAGTGTTGATCTGCTGGAGGACAGGAAGGCTCTGCAGAGGGATCTGGACAGGCTGGGTCGATGGGCCGAGGCCATGGGCATGACGTTCAACAAGAACAAGTGCCAGGTCCTACACTTCGGCCACAAAAACCCCATGCAGTGTTACAGGCTGGGGGAAGAGTGGTTAGAAAGTGGTCAAGTGGAAAAAGACCTGGGGGTGCTGGTTGACAGCCATCTGAACATGAGCCAGCAGTGTGCCCAGGTGGCCAAGAAGGCCAACAGCATCCTGGCTTGTATCAGCAATAGTGTGGCCAGCAGGACCAGGGCAGTGATTGTCCCCCTGTACTCGGCACTGGTGAGGCCGCACCTCGAATCCTGTGGTCAGTTTTGGGCCCCTCACAACAAGAAAGCCTTTGAGGTGCTGGAGCGAGTCCAGAGAAGGGCAACGAAGGTGGTGAAGGGTCTGGAGCACAAGTCCGATGGGGAGCGGCTGAGGGAGCTGGGGGGGTTTGGCCTGGAGAAGAGGAGGCTGAGGGGAGACCTGATCGCTCTCTACAACGACCTGAAAGGAGGGTGTAGCCAGGTGGGGGTCGGTCTCTTCTCCCAAGAAATGAGTGACAGGACAAGAGGGCATGGTTTGAAACTACGCCAGGGGAAGTTCAGGCTATAAACGAGGAGGCATTTCTTCATAGAAAGGGTCATTAGGCATTTGCATGGGCTGCCCAGGGAGGTGGTGGAGTCACCATCCCTGGAGGTGTTTAAGAAAAGACTGGACGTGGCACTTAGTGCCTTGGTCTAGTTGACATGGTGGTGTTAGGGCACAGTTTGGACTTGATGATCCCAGAGGTCTCTTGCAACAAAATCGATTCTGTGATTCTGTGATGATGAAGAAAGTGGCATTTTCAACAGCTCAAAGAAATATTGTGGGGCAACGGGAGGCACTTTCCTAAACTAGAGGCTCCCTGCGTGCCAGATGTTAACACCTTGTTTCACCCAGTGAGAGTGGGAACCTCTGAAGAGCAGCTTGCCAGTATTGGTAGGGGTTATGTGAAGGTTTGGGTCTCAGAGAGGTTTCCAGGGGCTCTGCTTGTATCCCGGTGGTGGTGGAGGAGAGGGTCCTGGGGCTGGGTGAGCGGAGGAATGGTTTTGCAGGGAGAACGGTAGTGGGAATGAGGAGGAAGAAGAGCTTTGACTGTGCTTTGTGAAATCAAAAAAGGCAAGTAGGAAGGCGCTTGGATATCAAGGCCTGTTGGGAGGAGACTGGGATGAGCCTGAGGAGGACAATGACACAGACATGGAGGTCTCAGTCCAGACAGCAAAGCAAGACAGACCTGGACCTAGGTCTGAGGGGAACTGGCAAAAAAAGTCTGTGTACTGCAAAACCTGGGGCTAGACCTGCGCCTGTGCGTTAGACCCCCAAGCAAAGGAGAATAAAAGTCTCTAAAGTAGGTGTGTAAGTGCAAAATATGTTTTACTGGAGGAGTCTGAAAAGCTCCTACACGGTGTGCAAAGTGCAATGCAGAGGAGAGGAACCAGAGCAATGGTTTGCAGTCACCCGTGATGCCGGCATGCGTGTCTGAACCTGAGCCAGGTCCAAGTGACTCACTTACACACCTCTGCCCATGGCAAATGTTGGGCGTGTATGTCAGTCATCAAGCCTCTTCTTGCGGGATACTGGGCCTGACAGCTGTCTGCAGCTGAGGATATTTTCTGATTAATTTTGGTAATTGCAGCCAGAACACTTTGGTTTATTAACTTCACTCCGTCCCACTGGCTGCCAGGCTTTACGAACCCAACAAACTGCCAGTCCTGTTCTCCTCCTCTGCCTTCTTCCTTTCAGCTTTCATGCTTTTAAATGAAAGACAGAGCAAACAATAGCTGCACAGTCCTCCAGTCTCGGTGCTATTCAGGGAGCACCATGTCACAAATAGGATCCGCCAGTCAGTGGCCCAGGTCTTCACAGAGAATATTGCCATAAGCTGACATGGATGAGTCACATCAAGCCATAGTTTTCCTGTTGTGACTCTACTGACTCCTGAGTGGTTGTGCTTCCCTTCATTATTAATTCTCAGCAAGGATCCCTCCTGGAGCCAGCTGTCTGTACAGAAAGTTGGAAATTGATGTACAGAAAGTTGGAAATGGAGTTAACATTTTTGCCAAAAAAAAAAAAAGGGAATTTTGATTTTAAAAAAATATATTTTTTTTTTTCAAGGGCTGAATTGAAATTGGTTCTGTTTTACTGATGTCTGTTTTATGTCTTGGCTTCCTGAGCAGAAACAGTCATACCTGAGGACTACCTGGCGGATCCTGCAAACATGAAGCGGTACAGCATCGATCCTGCTGATTCTGCCTTCAGTTGCATGGGCTCCATGTACACCATGCGGCAGAGTCCTGCAGACGGACGTCCTGCTGGAGGCTCCTCTTCCTCCTGTAGCCATCAGCCTGCCCAGATGTCTTCAGGGGGCTCCTCGTCTACTGGCCTGCAGCATCAGACCTCCAGCCCAACGACAAACGGGACCTATCTTGAAGGAAACAGAAGTGGTAATATAACATCTTCCATTTAGCAATGTGTGTTCCTATGTTGGTGCCATGCTGGAGTCTTAACTCACTCCCAAATTCCCAGGAAAATTAGTGAGGTGGGTCTGGGTTGACATCCATCCAGACCACTCACACTTCCATGTAGAAGGAGAAATAATAACCTATGTAAACACAAAATCAATCTGTTCATCATTGAAGGTGAATGTTTTCTAATGCTGTTATTAATTATGTAAACATATGTATTATGTATAATCGTGTGGCAATCACAACCGTTATTATCAACTTACAGATATAAATATTAATATATAAGGCATTCCTCCCAAAGATTGATACTGCCTACAGGCAAGTGCCTGTTATTTGTGACAGCTGTGTACAAGACACGACACAAGGCAAAGCCAAATATTAGTGCCTACCTCAAAGCATTTTAGCAAAAGGTTTTGCTTCCTAGCTGCATGGCCCATCCTGCCCCTTTAATCATGAACCAAGCCAGATTTTGCTTGAAAAAGACTGCCAAGTAAAACATACATTTTTAGAAATCACCCAACTCACCGCTGAAGGTTCTTTTATCCCTCAGGAAGCAAAGTCACAAGAAGTTTATCTGCAAATTCAAGGGATGCCATGGGAACCACTGCATTCAATAACCTTCTTCTTCCCTTTCTTTGTATTTTTGTCCAGTTACCCTGCTAGGATTTACATTTGCTGGGTCGATGTTCTGCCCATTAGCTATATTCCCTATTAGCCATGATTATTTTTTTTCCTGTAGAAATGACCTGGGTTCATCAAACAGGTTAGCTAATTCCCTGAACTACTTTTAACTTTGTCTTTGTTGGCATTTTCCAAGTTCTCCATTAACAGGTCTTTATCAGTAGTGATTCCAACAGTGTCTTCACCCCTTACTAATTATTCAAACTTCATTTATGCATTTTTTATCTTGAAGATAGATCTAACAAAGGAGTTGAGTGTCTCAGCCATTTTTAAGTCATTAATTTCTTTCCCTTCCTCATTTATTAATGGAATCTACTGTCACTCTATTATTATTTTTTTTTAATCTTGATATATTTGCAGAAGCCTTGCCGGTTCCTCTAGCCCCTTTGTCTACCATTAGCTCATTACACTGTCTTTCTGCCCTTGCATTTTCCCTGGAAACTGCAAGTGATTCTGCATATTCTTGCTTGGAAGCCACTCCAGACCCTCTTTCCAGTAGCTGCAGATCTTTGCATAATTCCTTCACATTCCTTAACTCTCCAACGCCTGTATTATTTCTTGTTCCTGAACTTTCGCTATTTAATATTTTAGAATATTATTCTTCCAAAATAAGTATTACCAGTATTTATCCTCGAATTTCTTTGTTTATTTAAGTTTGCTTTCTTAAATGTTCAATACCTACCCAAAACCACCACTCACTTTGCTATTATTTTCGCACATTTGTTTCCCTTGTTTATCCCTGTGTTACTCTGTTATGTAGAGCACAGATAAGCGTTTGATTCTCATCGTTATTTTTTCTTCACTTACGGACTCAACTTTACTCAAAGCAAAGGGGATAGTATAGAAATGTACTACTGCAAACAACTTGTAAAAGGTTGTCACTAAGAACTGGGGGCCTCATTTACAAAGAAAAGGAAATGAAAAGCCCTTTCTTTCAGATCTTGTTTAGAGTCTCTTGGGCTGGCATAATCAGGTGCTGGGAGGACAAGAGGCTTACTGTGCACAGGATTCATTTTCCCCGCTCTCACTGCTTCCCTAGAGCCTCCTAGCAGAACGGGGACCTTTTCGTCAAGCTTTTAAGTTGGCAGCTGCGAGGAGCCAAGATTTAACAATGTTGTTACTTGCTTGCTTTGAAAATCTTTATCATTCTGCTTGGGATCAGTCGTTATCTCTTTGTAGTAGATAGGAAGGGTCGGAGTAGTTCAGAGCAAAGGTCTGCCTAGTCGCGCATCCTGTCTCCAGCATGAGACGGCGGCAGCACACCCCCAGGAAAGAGATAAGAGCAGAGATCGCAGTGCTTCCCCACTGCCCTTGCCACCTTCAGGAATTTGTGGTTCAAGGGTTTCCAGAACCAGAAGTGGTGGCTTCATATTTAGTAACCTTTCATAGATTTTGCTTCCCTAAATCACCCAACAGCTCATTGAATACTTTGCGCATTTTCAGCATCTGCAAAATACCGTGGTAGAGTTCCTGCGCTTAAAAATGCATTGTGTGGAAAAAAGCCTTGGTATCAGGGGTTTGAATCTATGTTCAAGGGACTGAAGTGCAAAATCAGAGCTCCTTGAGGTTGCTCATCTGAATTACTTTCCCTTCTTGTTTCTGACTCTGAATACCTCTGTTTCCCTGTCTAAGAATAGTCCTGCAGTGGCCATGCAATAGGCTTTGCAGGTTCCTATATTTCTCTAGCTTGAAACATTAAAGCACTTTGAGGAGCAAAGAGGAAGAGATTGCTTTTGGACCAGGCACCTGTGATATTTGGTTGTCTGAAGCAGTTACAGGTGACTAAGCTGCTACATATGGCACTTGGGGGTAACAGGACTCATTCCAAGACTGCGTAGTATGTTTTATGTGACATGCATTTGATACTTGCATGGACTAGCTCATCTGGGACTTCTGGGATGTTTGACCAGCACAACAGTAAAGGCTCCCTAAAACTGACAGTTATGCAGTGAACTTCATAAAAATAGTTATTCATTTGTTGATATTTACAATTTTATTACAAATATTACAAATAATTTACAATTATTAACCATTTATTAGTCCCCATATCATCCATTGTAGATGAGGGTCTGCCGTAAATGTCCATCCAAACCCACACGGAGATGGGTTTCCTGTGAAGGTCTCCAACAGGAGGAATAGCAATCCCCTCTGCTCTACCAATAGACACCCCGTACGTCAGCACAAACGGCTCGTGCAGGTCTGTGCCACCACCATCCATCACATTTACTCCGATCTGCTCAGCCGCTTTCTGGAGCCTCCCACAGCAGTTGGGTCCTCTGAGGCAGAGGAGAGCCCTTTGCTCAGCCACAGCCAGGCAGTTTTCAGTGGCTGTGATTGTGCGACACAGTGAAATCCATGAAGTCAAGGTGCCCACAGATTCATTACAATATCACTTCTAGCATTAAAGAAAATGTGCTGTTTCCAGTCACAGTCTGGTTTCATCTCCTATTCCATTTGCGACAGTGTCAGCTCTGTATCACCGGAATTCCCACCGAAGAGTCCTACAAAGGATTGCCTGCTCCTGCTTAAAATTAGAGATTGTATTTCTTTACAGCTGTTGTACTTTCACCCACCATGCTGCTTCCACTTTTACTGGCAATCCCAGACTTTTAAAAAACACTTCTTTCTGCAATTGCCTTACTGCAGTCACACTAGTTTGATTACTGTCTTTGCAAAATCCCTCTTGCAAAGGTCTTCGAAATCTGCGCTCTCACCATGATGCTTCTGCGTGTGGTTCTCCTCTTTCTAGGGATAATTTATATGCTGCTGAATCATAAGTGAGCAAAGATGAGTAAGTGGTGCATGCCAGTCTCTGTTCATACCCTCCTCAGTTTGCACACTTACAAGGAAGGGATGGGCAGGGCTCATTAAAAAGAGGAAGAATTTCTCTCTGAAACCTCAAACCAATCCTCTTTATTTATGGGAGTTTTGAAAAATAGCTTGCCTTATTTATCACGGTGGGCAAATATAGAAAAAAACATAACCATAAAACATATCTCAGTGCATAGCAGAACATGTCTTTCAAGTGAAATGGATGAGATTAAACCTCAAAGCTCTCATTAATGCGATCGGAAGCTTGATGCCTAATTCTCCTTCATTATGCTAAAAAATTCCAAACAACGAAAAAAAATAATGTCATTTCAGAAAGCCAGTTGGGGCTGCTAACAGATAAACATGCACTTTCCTGTCATCGTTTGCCAAATTGAAGCTCTTAAATCAGGGACGAAATAGTCAAGGACATCATAAACCTTTCCAAACCTGCTTACATAACAAACAAAGCCTTTCTTCCAAGTATGAAGAATTGCGTGTTCAACCACAACGTAATAACCTTAACCTTGCCCTGTAGCTTGTTATTTTAAAGTAGATTTTATTATCCAATATTAGCAGTTAATTATTATCACCTGAGGGCCTTTGTTAAAGAGGCAATCCTGCTTGCCAATACATTTATTTCCTGAAAACATTTGGGGGGTGCAGGGTTTGAAGTTTCTCTTTTCCCAGAATAATACTGCAAGCACCCCGCGGGGGCCAAATCCAGCATCTCCCCAAGGCAGGGGCAAAGGAGCTGCTGACGGCATTGCAGGGCTCAGCGCTGGGTACCACTTCTTTGGCAAACACAGTCTGCCTGACATTTACAGCCTGAAAGGCTTGATGCTTTCAGTAAGCTGCCTTTTCCCTTCACCCCTGCAAAAGAGCGGCAAATCAAGAAAAGCCCGAATAAATATTTAATGCCAGCCCACGGCTGCTTCTCATGCAGCTGGATGCCAGGCTGCTCTTGCAGCAGGCAGAGTAGGATCCGTGATGTTGCATCCCTACGCGGTGTGTGCCAGGCCGGGAGCAGGAGCAGCCGCGATGCTGGTGGGAGAGGGACTCTGCCGTGCCGCACCGCGCCGTGGGGCTGAGGCCACCAGCCGGGTGGTGCACAGCATCTCTGGCAAGTGCCTGCCAATGCACATGGATGTGCTAAGTCCAATCTTCTTTCCAGAGCTCTCTGCTGATTGTGGCTTGTCAAACACCCTCCGTGCCCATAAATATCCTGTAATTGTGTTCTCCCACACGCCTGCTTTTCTGATGCCTCTCCTCTCCTCTTCTCCCGCTTAGTGTGCCCTAGACTTTTTGAAAAGTGTCTTCTACAAAGCCTTCCTCCTGTCGTTTATAGCGGGAGGTGGTTTGGTTTTTAAAATAATTCCCATTTCTCTGCGCCTTTGAGGGTCTGCTACTTCTGCTTAGTTTCAGTAGATCTGCTGCTCCTTATTATCTGCTCCAGTGCAATCAGAGAGAACCTTTTAAAATTTCATTCCCACCCCTTCCCCTGAGGCAAAGAAATCATTTAGGCCTGCAGCAATATTAAAGTTCATCTGTCACTCCCTTTCCACTCTTATCTATCAATGACGGTACTCCCTCTGGGCTCTGTTTGTTTGCCAAGAACGTATTTAGGGAGTCTGTTATTTATCTTTCCTTCTTTTGCAGGTTTAACTCCATTTTAGCATCAGATTTCCTTGTCATGCCTCTGCCACCGTTCAGCTGTTGGCTTGCTCTCTCCATCCTCCTTCTCAGGAAGGTCCCAAGGCCAGAGGTGGGGAGCAGAGAAAAGCATGGGTGGGATGAGAGCTCAGACCAAGCCATGCGATGTCATTCCATCGGCTTTGCCGGGCTTTGGCCACTGACCTGGTGTCTCTGGCCATTTCAGCGCAGGCAATGGTCTCGACTGGGATGCCCCAAGACCTTCCCCTGCAGAGGAACCTTTTCACTCTCCTCCCCCGACACCGCTTCAGGCAGGAGGGAGAAGTGCTTCCCTCTGATTACCTAAATTTCCATATCTCATTCCATTAGTTTGACAAATTTTTGCCACCTGTCAAAAACAGGAAATTGGATTTGACCTAGATTACGATCTCTAAAAATAATTATTGGTCGCGAGCACTCCCATCTCTTTGTAATCTGAGTATTCATTATCATCTTGATTAATTCTGATGACAGGACGGCATAGGATACCTGGGAGACAGGAGACTTCCTCATTTATCTAATTCTTAGGTTAAGTGTGAATACCTCCAGATAAGAAAAAATGTATAGTACTTGCCCTGCTGCCATCAAACACTTTTGTGCTTAATATAATCTTCCAGCAAAGTGGTGCTATTGAAACAAGCCCCATGCCTTTGTGTAGACATGAAATGATTTATTTTCTTTTGTAAACAGAGAGACGACACTTAAATGTGTAAACTACGATGTTAAAAAGCCAAGTAAATTAAACAATGAAACACATTTTAAAAGATATGGAAAACTGATTGTTTTCAGGATCACTGGCTACAAACTCTGTTCCAGCTATTTGTCTGCAAGCTGGTGGCATCCCAGTTTTACTGACAACATTTAAAGGTAGCCCCTTACACACAAGTAAAATAACACTTTTTAATTCACGAAAAAGCAGCAGACGATCCAGGACTTGACTCTAGGTAGGTAAATAAAGACTAAACAATCTTTGAAGAGTTAGTATATACACATAATTCTTGTTTTTATATTATTATATTATACCTCAGGTAAGGATCTGAAAGGGTTATCTTTACCTGCTAGGGCCTGGAAGTGACCTAGCCACGCAGTCTCTTTAGAAAGGTCATTTATGTATTTGTCTTTAAAAAAATCAGGTTTATGCTATTGATTGCTAGATTGCAAAGGAGTGAATAGAATTCCCCTGTCATTTCAACCTTTTCTTCTCATCCCCTTGCCTTTCACTGCAGATATTTCGAATGCCTATGAAGGCTCCAAAACGCTCTTGTTCTCTCTTCCCCTTTGCCCTTTCCTGGCATTTCTGGAAGCAGCAGTTTGTGGTCAGGAGTCGCTGGCCTCGGGGCTGCTCTCTCTGTGTCTGGTGTGAATCCCAGGCTAAGCCCCCTGGGCTTTCCTTACACTTACACAAATTTAAGGGAAAAAAATGTGATCCTCAGTAGTGGCACAGCATCTCCCCTGACCACGCTATGACAGTAGCATTGAACCTTCTGCAGTCCTTTGGGCACGGCCAAACCTTTCTCTCCTCCCTTTATTTTCTGGCTGTTTTGCAAAAGCCTGGTTTTCTCCCTGACCTTTAGTTTGTGGTGCTGAGGTGCCCAATATCTCCACACGTCAGCTGGCATCCAGACCATCAGCAGATTAGGTAGGGGAGAAATACTCGCCCCTCTGCCTCCAAGACAAGTCTCAGTTCTCCCACATGTTCCTGACAAAGTTACTTGATGTTACTGATGATCCGGGGGTTGGCCAAGATTACCCTGCTCGTTTTGCACTCTTTGTCTTCATCGTTTCATGCCAAAGGCTCCAGATGGTGTCTGTACCGTTGTGTATTGCATTTATTCTGTGAGCAGAGCCTGGGGTCGCCCAAGTCCATACGAACACCAATCCTTGCTGTCTAATTAAGAGGACCTGCGGCTATTCCTTGTCCTTTATATCCAGAACAGTGACTTAGCAAATGAGAGTGTAATTATCATGATATTTACATCACATCCCATTATGAAGCCCATCGACCAGATTTGCACATTCATAGCACTGCTGCTTTCTGGAGTTCATCCTTCATAACTGCAAAATATACCTCGTCACATTATACCGTAAGATGAGCATGGTGGCAAGAAAAAAAGGGACGAATATGCACATAAAGCAGTTACTGGGCGTCTGTGGGCAGAGCCTCAGCTAATATAAATCAGCACAGCTCTACTGAAGTCAATGGAATGACAATCTATATAAGTCACAAACCCAGCCCACTACATTTGCTCACACACATTAGGATCGTGTTTTGAGTCACACATGGATATGCTCATACATTTAATCTGCCTCTATAAGCTCAGTTATCTCTCTGGAGAGCTCAGCCCTTCTCTCTTCAGCACCTCTGATTGCCCTCTTGGCTACCTGGGGCTCCTCCAGGCTCCAGTATCTCTGGTGCTCCCTCTACTCGCACTCTTGTGTTTCGTTTTTTTGTCTTCTGTAGTGTCTGCTTGCTTACCATTTGCACCTCTCATTAAAAAATGGGCTTTAACAGAAAGAGATGAGCAGGTCTGGGTAAGTAACAATTTATACATCTCTGTGCAGCCACCTACTAATGCAAAGTTTCCTTGGCGTGGATATAAACAAATTTAAACAGCTTTCCTGTAACCTAGCATAATATAGTTCTTGGAATAGTGAAGCAGCATAAGTGCGGGTGCAAATTATATTCACGTGGAGGCTGAGATTTATAATTCTATGGAGACTAAGAATAAAAACATAAATGCACTTTCATTCCAATGTGCCTTTATTCACTTGATTTAAAGCTACAGCAAGCCAAAGTGACCTTAAATCATCCAGGGCTTATACCATTAAAAAGTCACATGTGCAATGTTCATCTTCGTGTGCTTTAGTAGCTTCCAAATAGGCATTCATTGGGGACCATCAGTTACATGAGAGCCAAAGATTAGGATGATATGGACTAGAAACCTTCTTTAAGCTCTAAGATTAGTCTGAATATCTGAATGTGAAGAAAAAAACCCTATTTGTTAAATTGCGATTTTATCGTCTAGTCTTCGCATTTGATGGCAAAAAGTCCTTTGTTTAGTGCTGAAGCATTTTCTTTCCAGGTGGGAGGGTGGTGTCTTCTTGAGCCAAAACCCCCGCTGCTTGCAGATCAGACAACAGGGGCAGCTCCGTTTAAGAGCCTGGCAGCTGGCACATTTTTCCTTCCCCAGCAGGAACCTGAGGGTTTCATGTTTTTTAACACAATTCACCAGCTGGGATCGTGTCTCCCGATAAGCAGTCAGCTCAGAAACTGCTCCAAATCCCCTTCTCTCCCCACCCCACCATCTCAGGCTGATACTTGCACACACACAGATCCAACGTCCAACGCCGCAGTGAGGCTGTGGTACCCCTGCACGCTCACAAACCAAGGAAACCACTGCGTGCCATTGTAACGCATTGTTGTGGGCTTTTTTGTACCGATAGCCTCAAGTCCTTCACCAGAACGACAAGACACAGCTCGGCCATCAAGCAAGAATCCTTTGACCTGGACGGTGGATGACGTGGTTTGGTTTGTGAAGGATGCAGACCCTCAGGCTTTAGGTCCCCATGTGGAGCTCTTCAGAAAACACGTATGTAGAAGGCTGCCCTTGCCGCTTCTGGGTAATTTAAGCCAAGTGCATGGGCAGGCCCAAGAGATCGCCAGTGCACATCACACCCGCCCCCCTCAGCTGCCTTTGGCTGCTGTAGGTAGTGTTGGTGCTCCGTCAGGTTGAACACAAGGCCCTGCAAGGAGTTCAGCAGTGTCTGGGGGGAGCTGGGCTGAAGAAATGTTGACTTATTGCTTGAGAAGGTGGTCAAATCCTGGAACAGATTTCCTGGAGAGGTGGTCAATGCCGCAAGCCTGTCAGGGTTTCACAGGCATTTGGATAATGCCCATAATAACATGCTTTAACTTTTGGTCAGCCCTGAATTGGTCAGGCAGCTGGACTAGGTCATTGTAGGTCCCTTGCAACTGAAATATTGTATTCTGTTCTGTTCTGTTCGATTCTATTCTATTTATCCTTCAATAGGGAGACCCTAACAATGTCTTTAGAAAATGCTCATTATTTGTTCCCAACTACGCCAGCATAAATTGTTTCTATGCCAAGCCTAAGAGAAAACACTGAGGATCTGGTGCTCATTTTTCACTGTCGGATTGGCACAAAAAAAACCTCATCTCAATGACACTTTTTTCCCAGGATACCTATGATTCTTCTCTGAAGAGCATTTTTTATGTGTCTCTAGATATTTAGCAGGAGAAACCCAAAACAACCAAGCTTGTAATCTTTTTCCGCTCAGTATTATGTAACTACATAACCAAATTTAACAGACCTGCTGACTAACTGGAGAATATGATAGTTGGTTTTGGTAGGCAATCTCCAGTGGTGGAAATTATATTATCCTTAATTAGTAAAGGGGAAGACTGTAGACACACATCCAGTCTGGAGTTTCTTGTTCTGTGGCTGTATATGGAGTTGGCATGAATACATCTAATAGCATCTTCAGCCTCCTCCTCCTCCTCCATTGCTCCTTGATCAATTCAGTCTGGCTATGAAAATGGATTTTGCCCTTAAAGTGACTTGCTTGTGCTCAGCTGGAGGTCACAGCTTTGAATGTAAGAGGCTGGACCTAGGTCTAAACGGGAAGAGCTCCCCAGCCCCGACTCCTGAACAGCAGCACCTCAGGTTGCAATGCAAACGAGAGGGCTTGGTCACCAGGGCTTGATCACTCCTTGCCCATCTGCTGGCAGGGACGGGTGGGAATGTGGGGCTGAAGACAAGAGCTGAGGGAGACAAGTGATGGACTTCCAGCCACACCCTCGATGCAGGGTCTCCAGATGCTGAGGAGGGGAGGTGACTGAGGAGCAGATGAAGATGAACAGAGGCTGTGGTGTCTGCTCATCCTAGGTAGGTATTTGGGCCATCTGCCGTGCTGCAGACAGGCTGCTGGGATGAGAACAACAGAGCAGGCACAGTGGTGCAAGGACCAAATCTGCAATTACAGGTCAGGTGTCAGCCTACTTTCCCTGCCTTCTGCAGAGAAGTCAGATCTGCTTTATAAGCTAATAATGAAAACATGGCCTACGTTGGCCATGTGGGTAACCAAGCAGATATACAAGCCACCTTCAGATTTAAGGGCGCCCTTTAGCATGAGCTTTTGAGACTACCAGAGGGGGCTGTGCATCAAGAAAAGACTCTTCGTGCAAGGAAGAGAGAATTGCCACGGTCTGAGGCATACAGGTACATTCCAAAGAAAAGAAGCGTTTAAAGTTTATCTTGTAAATATGGACAGTGCACAAGCACCGTTTTTGTCTAGTCTCCACTTGTAGCGAAAGATGGCACAACGTGCTTTTATCTAGCAACAGGGCAGCGACACGCTCCAGGCAGTCATGGGCCAGCTGCACTGGAGCATGCCACAATACTACAGCGGCTCCGTGACCAAAGAGATCAGGCTAAATTGCCACTAAAGACAGTCCCTGTCATCCTTTGTTGAACACCCAGCACCCACGGGCTCTACTTATCATTGGTTTCCTTGTAAAATATGCCATAGGTGGGAGAACCTGGGTAAGATTACCACACAGCTCAATTCAATTATGCCTTTGAGTTATATATGTCCCTGCAATTTTTCAGCTTTCCAATCTCATCTGGGTTAGCACGGAGACCCCACGGGTGAGAGACAAGTGATTAGACCATTAACCTCAGCCATATCTTCCTGTATGTTTAATCTTTCTATGAAGCAGGTGCATCATTTACTTAGAAGCACTTACTGTCATTGACAAGGCCCAGCTATCCCCTAAAATCGTTGCACTGGCAATCAGCTCATCTGAGATACGACACTGGGAGGGAGAGGATGGGGAGGCCATGAGAAAGAACAGGTTGTGGGGGGGTATGCTGCACACGGGCGATGTGCTTTCCCACTGCTATATTAAGCCATTTGGGTGTTGATCAGAGTCCCCGGAGCCGGCTCTCCCAGTGCACAGTAAGGAGGTGCTTCCCGCATCCTTCACTGCTGCAGCGGTCATTGCAGGATGACCTGGCTCTGTCTCTGCTCTTCCCATTGGGAGCAGAAGCTTTTCTTCTTGCCAAGACACCCAAGAAGCTCCATCACAGGCAGCTCCTGAGAGTGTCCACCAAAACCTGTGAAATTGCCTACTACCTCCCCTCTGCTCTTCCCTGCTCCCTCTCCCAAGGAAAGCTGAGCTGATCTTTTGGCTGATAGATCCTTTGGCCTCATGCAAAGGAGCCGTCACGTCACGCTGGCAGGGACCTCGTAGCGGCACTGCAAGAGAGCCCCATGCAGTTCTCTCTCAGCACGAAAGACTTGGTAGAAAGACTGCATGAAGGGAAATGGAGGAGTGGAAAGAGTTACACCGGGAATTAACAGGTAGAAAATTCAAGCTGGCAGGGATCAAAGCAATGTTATAGTCTGACAGTTTAATTATGGCCAGTGATCGGCAAATGCATGTATGAAGGAGGCAAAAACCTTTGAGTTTAACATAATTAATCCAATTTATTCAAATAGCAACCTGTCCCCGCCAGTGCTAGACATCACACTTGTGAGTAGGCATCTTTCTCTAGACCTTCATCTCCAGTCTTTGAGCACTGACCACTGAGCCGCCACTCGCTGCGCTCCTGTCGCAGGCTGGTGTCTGTTCATGAGACTGCAGAATACAAAAGAAGGGAGATATATATGTGTGTATATATATCCCCCAAGCAGGATATAGATCCTAAAGTCTTTGACTTTACTCAGAATTAAGTGCTTAAACACCCAGGAAGATGGAGACTTTCATCTTTCTCATTAAAAGCCTCATGCTGGGGGACATCCACTACCATCATGACCTCGCAGCTCATATGTTTGCTGTGTCCACTCCCTTGCAGGAACGTGGCAATGATCTCCTGCAATATTCTAACTTGCACTGGGCCAGATCTCCACTCATGTGAAACAAGCTAATTGCACTGATGGCACTACATTTTTACCAGCTCCAGACCTGGTTTAAGATCTTCTGGTGAGGCTATTGCAGATTTGGGGACCATGCGATAGGATCCTTCTTTTTAATATTATTTTTAAAAGGGCTTACACAGTAATACTGCAGAGAAGTCAAACCAACAATCTGCACAGGGACATGGCTAATATGGGATATTTAATTGGATATGAATGGTCCCTCTGGCATACTCTTGTCATAGAGTTTAATTTTGACCCCTACACGGTAATAATAAAGGAAATAATAAAATGCTGAACTCAACATTTAGAAACAGCTGCCTCCGCACCAAACCCTTGACAGTGTTTTTACCCTATGGCACCACAGTTACAGGAGGTTTTTTTCTTTCTTATGCAAATATTAATTACATGTAATACTTATTCTTAATTTCCCTTAGCTTCCTTAAAATAATGGGAAGGAGGGCAGGAAGTTGAAGAGAGTTTCTATTATGGATAGAGTGGGGGTTGCAAAATGAAGAGCATTAATTGATTGAGTTAATCAGAAAGTGACCTTAACTCCTCATCAGCTAAATCACCTACTGAATGGAATAATGATGATCAGGGCAAATTAGGATCCATAGTATTGCTCAATTTGTAAGTGATGGATCACAGAGGAAAGATCTGACCATCAAAATCACAGATATAATATATACAGCATTAGTGTGTGTGTATGTGTGTATATGTATGCACACACACGTAGCACTAGTGATGTTTTGGCTCTGATGGTCCAAGTATGTAAGATGGAGACTGTGGGGAGGGGTAGTATTTTTTAGCAGATCCACTAACATAGTCAGGAAAAAACAGACAAGCTCAGGATCCAAGGAAGGACAATGTAGCTGAAAGCTTCTGTGTTTTACATCTCATAATAAACCAGAGTCTGTTTCTGGGCACACCCATGCTACTTTGTGCTCAGTACAACACTTTGTCATTTCAAAAGGTTTTCAAGCGAACAGGTCTAGGATAAACAACTGAACTTGGTAGCAATTTCCTCCACTTACACGAGGGTTAAATTAAATGTGAAGAAATTGCATCAATAAATGCAATGAAATAAGCAAGTTACTACTGTCTTCAATTTAAGAAAAATAAACACACACACATATATATATAGCACTGGATATAAGTGTATTGGAGATACGTGAAGCATGCAGATAGCCAGGGACAAAGCTGGAACTGAGATTCAGAGGTGTGCTATTAGCAGTTGATGAGGTCACATCCCTCCCTCTCTCCATCCCTCACTCCTTTCTCTCAAGGCTGACTTGCTTTTCTCAGAATTAGGCTTAGAGCAACCCTGATTTTTTAAAAATCCTCATGTTTTAATTGCAAAATAATTGAAAACCTAGACAAACCTTATACTTCCTCAAAGGATAAAAAGTAGTATTGGATTAAACCCTCCTTTAGAGCTTCCATCATACCTCAGATTCCAATTTTTTAAATGAAATTTCAAAATGCATGACATTTTGGCTAGCTCTACTCTAAAACACATGCTGGTTCTGATTCACCTTTTTTAATGTGTCAGGATGCAGCACTGGAAGGGGGTTAACACATTTTGATTCTCTTTCTCTCTTTTGAAACCAGGAGATTGATGGCAATGCTTTGTTGCTGCTGAAAAGTGACATGATCATGAAATATCTGGGGCTGAAACTGGGACCTGCGCTGAAACTGTGTTACCATATTGATAAGCTCAAGCAAGCCAAGTTCTAACAATTTCTTGAACGACAACAGAACCTGACCTAAATCTAGACGGAAAACTAAAGGTAACATGTTGCCTTACAGAAATGCATTCATTTGCAGATTGCTTTTCCTTCTTTTTTAACAAAGACTTTGTCTTTTTTAACATTTGTGCATCATCACGTTTTTTTAATCCAGTGGGGTCTTTTGGGCTGCTTTGTGTTAATAATTTGCCAAAAAGTATATAATTACAATAATTATTTTGTATCATTAATATTATTATGATTATAGTAAGTCCTATTTTTGTAATCAGAAGTGGAAAATCAAAACCAAACACAGCTACGGCATAGGCTGAGGGCTGCTGGAAGACGAACCAAGGGTCCCTCATGTGCCGCGGGTCCGCCTTAGAGGAGTAACCACCGACCTGCATCGGCTGGGCTCCAGCTCCACCACCGATGCTCGAGGGCTGGAAAAGCATGGCATTTGGTCACCTATTGTCTGATAGGAATGGCCCCATGTCTTGCACTATCTGGAAAACTTGAATTCTTCACTTATTTAAAAAAAAAAAAAAAAGTTAAAAAAAAAGAAAAAAGACAGTTTCAAAAAAAAAAAATAGGGGAAAAAAGGGGTTTTTTGGAGCTAAAGGACTTTTTCCCACTAGAGGGAGCAGCCCTAATAGACCTGAGGCTGGAGCTCTGATGCCATGGTGCTCTCTGTCTGATGAGCTTTGACCATCACAACTCTCCTATTGAGCACATCCACAAATACCAACAAGGAATCGCAGGCTCTCAGCAGGATAAGCCCGTCATCGCTCACAGATAATGAATTCAAGAAAAGTCCAAATGCAGAGAGTGTTTCTGACAGGATGTTTCCCATTACGCCGCAGAGGGGGTGGATGGCTCCCACGGTGTCTGGTGTGCTCAGCTGTCGGTTCCCTTCCCTGAGCTGTTTCTGTCTGGCGTACCGTTTGTGGCACTCTAAGAAAAATGAGAATTTCTGAGTTTGGTTTTGGTTGCATCTTTAAAAAGTGAGGGAGCTGGGTGGGAGCGTTCCCCACGAGGATCTGGCAATGGAGGGCACATCTCTGCACTTTGTAACGATGGTCAGGTCCAGGGCGGACGCTGTAGGGTCAGCTCCTGATTGCGATACGGTTTTCAGCACATATGCAGATGTGCCAGGCTTTCCGTCTCACGTGGATTGAAAATAACGCTCTTCTGCCTCTTACACAAATCCAAAAGGTGCTCACTGATATTCCAGGTAGAGGGGAGAGGACAGGTCTCAGGCTGAGGAAGTAATCCGTGGTGTGGGTATGCCCTTGTTTTCATCCTTCACAAAGGAGGACTACAAAGGGACACATTCATGCCGTTTAAACCCTTAGTGCGTGACAAGGAGAGGTAGCAAGTGTTTGTAAGTCATGCAGGTTGTTTTAGAGCTAGCCTCAACTGTACTGAGAAACGGGGTTCTGATAATACGCAAGACGTCATATTGTCCGACCTTGTTTATGCAGAACAGAATATTACCAAAAATACCTCATGGAATAAAACTCAACTTGATGCATGTTGCTAGACTAGAACTCCTACAAAAAGATACCCGGTCAAGGCCTAATCTTGAAAATCGACAACAATATGAGAAACCATGTACCATAAGACTTTCACTAAACCCTTGGGGACTACTCCCCCAAATTAAAAAAAATGTCTGCATACGTTTGCGGGATTGGATCTTTACAGGACTAACCAGCTTTCAGCAAATCCTGTCTGCACGTTGGAACACCTTTAATAGGAATAGCTGAACAAGTGTACTACATGAAAAGTCATATACTATCGAGTGATGTAATATACCGAACCCTAAACATGCCGATGCTCGGAACGTAACACCCACCCACATCACTTTGTGTCTGTGGTGTAGAGAATGTAAATCTGTTCAGCCAGCTGTCTGGTTGAGGCAGAGGTGACTTCACATCAACATCAAACCTGTACACTTCATTTTTCACTCTTACATTTTTTTAAAAAAATATTTTTTTCCCCCCAAAGATCCCTAAAATATGTAAAAATCTTGCTGTATTAGTAATATCACCTTCAGAGAGTCCTCAAACAATCTTTTCTTGCTCTGTTCCCATAATTTTCAACTTAGTTAACCTCTCTTTTTTTCAAAAGGTGATTTTAATTCCTCCACTTAAAAACCCACCTTGCTGTAGTATATCAGTAGTCAGAGCTGGTTAGACTCTATCAGACGGCTTCAATGCTGGAAAATCCCACTTTATCAAAATCAAAACTCTTCATAAAAGCATGTCACTTTCTAACATAAAATTCTATTTAACTGAAACTACAGCTTTCCGTAATGCCAAAACATCATTTTGACATTTTGGAAATGGAACATTTTGGTTCCAAGAAGATTTTTGCATTTTATTGTATTTTCCTGAAGAATCTGTAACCTCACATTTTGTTCTGAAAGTGGAGAAAAGAAAACCCAGAATGACAGACTTTCCTGAGAAAGAGTCCTTCCCATTCAGCTCTGTGTCTCACCCCTTCCCTCCACCTCCCCTACTCCAGGCGTTACAGCTGTGAAGACTGATAATACCAATGCAGTACTTATAGACTCCATCGTGGCAATGATGTTCATACATTTAATACGCTGAAATAGTTTTTCTGTACGTATCTGATACATACAGTCAGTGGTGTTGTCTCTTTTGATCTGACACTTGTAGGTACGACAGGACTGTCCAGCCCATGATATTTAATGTTCTGTTTTTTACAGGGGAGGCAGTTAGTGGATTCATTTTACATGTAAGTAATGCTTATAACAAAAATTCCTCACTGCATGGTTGTGGTTTTTTTTTCTTTTTCACTGAAAGGCAATTAGGAGGCAAACATTACTGCAGTAATATTGCAATTATAACTAATTTTTCTCTTTCAAGTCTTGTCAGCGAGGGTAGTTAAGCAGCTATGCTGTGTTGAGGGTGTCAGGCCATTTCCTCAGAACAAGCACTAAAAAGCCAGAACATGCATGTCAGCTGCTTCTCCATTAGCTGCTGCTTTAGACATCGCTTGTACAAATTACTTTGCTTGCTATTCCGTTCGTAGCTCTCGCTTCAGACCGCAGCCAACCCAGTTGTATTTTTGAGCTGTTCCCAACAGGTGGGTGGATGCGCATACCCTTAAAAGCAACACACGTGCCTCTTTTCTACTTCTAAGCAATCATAGCTGGATCAAAAGGCACTTTGGTTGCTTCAGGCAACTTTGCGAGCATTCACTTAAAAAAAAAGCAAAGGATTTGGGGAGAGCTCTTCCCTTGCTCAAGTGCCAGTTACAGGACATCAGGAGCACAGAGCCAGCGGTCCCAGGCAGACCACCTTCTTGCATCGAGCGTGGCCAACCAGCTCAGCCTCTGCCGCCGACACAGGTCAGCCGTGCCGCCTTCTCACCCACCTGCTGTCACGGCCTCCTCTTTCGCACCGACAAATGCCTCCTTCCTCAGCCAGACCTAATCAAGTTTCCAGAAAAGCCTCTGGGAATGCCTCCACCTCTCTGAGCCCACTGTCTGGCTTGGCAGGCTGAGGAGTGCGGTGGCATTTGCAGCATTAGCAGCTTCGCTCAGTGTGATTAATGCAGGCGGGCACCCTTGGGACTGGCATGTAAAGCATCACTCTGGGCTGTTCTTGCCCTTAAACTGATCGCTGAGTTTCCGCAGGTTGTCAGCAGTCTTCATGAGTTACACTTCTTTCCTTCTTAAAGAAAGGATGGCTGTGAGAGATTAAGTAGAACATTATTAGCAAAACCAGCAATAACTAGCAGAACATTAAGAAAATCACAGAATCATCAAGGTTGGAAGGGACCTCTGGAGATCATCTCGTTCAACCCCCCTGCCAAAGCAAGGACACCTACTTGCAAGTTGCACAGGATCGTGTCCAGGCGG